TCTCTAGAGCAGCAAAGTCTACCCACCCCACCACCAGGAGAAAATCTGTTTCAACCACCCAAAATTTACATCTTAATCACTCAACCCTCCTTTGTTAATTTGATCAAGAACATTTATCCTTGTCAGTTATATTGAAGCCTCTTATTCAATAAGTGTAGCTGGAAAAAAAAACTGGAGAAGGTGAATGTCATCACTCACATATTTTACAAACATCCATCTTGATCTATAATGAATAATAATAATAAAAAAGAGTTCTACTTGTTGGAAACAAGTCCAGAATCTGTCAGAGCCGCATTCACACTTCTTGAAACAGTCCCTTTAGAAAATGGATACCTGAAGGCAGATCACAGAGCCACGGTCACTGAAGTTATATGGGATTTCACAGTCATCTCTGGGATTCTCAAAAGCAAATGACAAGAATAGGAGGCAGGCAGCACCTCTGAAAGTTGGGCCTCACGGGTCTCCATTATACCACCTCAGAGAATTCATTTTCCTGTTTTTCTTTTCTTCCTCCAAACTAAACTTGAACTTGAAAACTTACAGTGAAGGCCAGCATCTTCCAAAATGCTTTCTGTCAAACATTTGTTCCAGGATGTCAGCAGGTTGAAATACACCCACACAGAGGGACCCCCCCCCCCGCCCCCAAATAAACCGAAAACAGCTAGCTAAGAATTAGCAGGCTTCCCAAGGGCAGGTGTACTTCACATTGAATATGCCTACTGGGCATTTCAAGTCTCCACAAAGAAGACACAACCCCAGGTAACTGCAGATCATACTTGGCCCTGGAATGTTTCCCGGGAGAGATGCCTTGTGGACTAATCTTTGGAATACCCTGGGAAATGTAGCTGGATCATTCGTCTCAATCTACTGACACCCAACCCATAGTGAGTTTCACACAGAAAGCAAGACCAATTCCATGCCCATCCATGCGAAAACACCACTGTGCCCTCCCTCCTCTCAAGCCACCCTCACCCAGGACATGGTAGGGTGACAGATGAGCTCAGCCTGAACTGATCTCCAGCTTAATCCTCTGAAATAGGTCAGTGGGTCTGCCTTGATGTGCTCCAATCCCAAGCCAGCTGCACAGCAGGGTCCCGCCATGTCCTTGCCTAGTTTTGCCTTTTTAATGTGTTCTTCTCCACCTTGTCTGCTCCAGTGTACAGAGTCAGCAAATATTTATCAATCACTTCCAGGAGGATAGGATCTGGGTTAAGCATAAAGTACAAAAAAATCTAAGAAATGATCCCTCTCAATCTAAGACATAAAGATACACAGTCATCCTTTGGCATCCATAGGAAATTGGTTGCAGGACTCTCCATAGAAACCAAAACCTGAAGATGCTCAGGACCCTTGAATAAAATGGTATAGTATTTGCACATAACCTATGCATACCCTCCTGTATACTTTAAATTATCTCTTGATTACCTAAAATACCCAGTTCAATGGAAATGCTATGTAAATAGTTGTTATATGGCATTGTTTAGGGAATAATGAAAAGAACAAAAGTCCATACACATTCAATACAGACCCAGCTGTTTATTATTTTCCACAGTTCATTGAATACTCAGGTATGGAATTCACTAATATGGAGGGTCAGCTATACATAATTTCAATTGTCATCACTGCCACTTCAGCAGCAGCTTCTTTGCCATTATGAAGTGAGTTCCTGATTGCACAAGAGCTTGCTTCAGGTAGGGGCTGGCCCTACCGCCTGCCCTCAGGAGCCAGAATGCTCAGGGAGACCCAGGTCTCTCCATGTTAGCGTGTTGCTCACATTGGTCAGCAGCTAAGGGCAAGTGCATACAGGGGTCGGTATCTAATGAGGAAGACAGCTGAGACAGAGGTCTTGAGCATAGTGCAACCATCAGTCCTTTGCCCGGGCTAACCTTCAAGGGGCTTCATAGCACACAAGTTAGTTTTTGTTATTGTTGTTTTTAATGCAGGGAAGGGCAGGGCTGGCTAGAAGCAATGACTTTTGGAAAATATTCACGCCTAAATTTACTCTGTTTGATTATATTTCAATGCTTAGAGTATTTCTTAACACCGGGAGAGTAGCAGAGGTCATTTGGCCTCAACCACTTCCAGCAGCTGTGCCCCTCAGCTAGCAGACATGCCTGGCATGTCCCCACACCACTCCATGACAGCACTCTTGGGGTTCTCATACCAAGTTAAGAAAACCTCTTGACATCTGACTGGCACTCACTCTGGATGTGGATCCTATGGCGTTCTAAATTGGGAGACCCACTATGTGGTTGGCTGGCGCTGCCATAGCTCTGGGAGTTTGGGGGGCTTCTTAATGGAGCATCCTGATCAGGACAAGGTTCTAAAGAATAACATGTCCTTTATGCAGAACCAGCTCCTTATCCCCGATTCCCAGTTGATGCACCTGCCCCTGATTTGTCCCCATGTCAGGCATCATGCCCACCCACCTCTTTGCCCTGCTTCTCGAGAAGGTGGCCCCAATGATGCCTCTTGTCTTCCTTCAGCTCCTGCTGCTTCTCCACCTGCAGAGGTAAAGGCGGGGCTCCTATAAGGGTCCCCCTTTCAGGCAACACTAGGGAGAACCCCACCTTATGGACCTGAGCTTGGAGCTTATCTTGACCTTGTATAACAAGGTCAAGTTGAAGGGGTTGGTTCCTCGTGGGGTGGCCTCTGACTAGTGAGCGACAGCAGATTGGAAGGACCCACAGATGAATGCCTGGCTGCGCCTACCCTCCACTCTGTTCTGAGACCCTGTGTTTCCATCAGACGTCTTCTTCTACATCCTGAGTGATCAAGCCAACAGCTGGGTTCCTGCTAAGCCTGACTAGCTCGGGGGTGTTTGTTTGCCTTCCTTCCCCTCTCTGTCCTTTCCCTTTCACTAGTGCCCCCCTGCAGCCCGACCCCTCAGTAAAGTGATATTATATGAGCTTCCAGGGAAGCCAAGCTGAGACTAGGGTGAAGGGCAGGCAGGCTAGGTGCAAGCCCAGCCCCCAGCTTTACCCAGAACATCTGCTGTATGTGGGAATCCCAGGCAGAATCTCACTTGACAAGAGGACATACAGATTTAAATGTTCTTTAGATCACTTACTTAGAACAACCTCCTCATTTTATAACTAGTGATGCTGAAACCCAAAGTGACTCCTTAGCTGCTAAGGGACAGAGCTGGGATTGCTACATTTACCTGTGTCCAGAGACGACCTCTTCCTACCACATCAGTGCTTTGCAAGCAAGAGAACTTATAGAACAGGGATCTTCTATGAACCTAAGAAAATGTGCACATGCTTGAGAAAGTCTACTGCCCGCAAAGGACAAGGGGAAGAGGAGGGCATGGAGACAGCTGAGCAATGTGGAGGCTGGAGGTAGATGGCTGCTTACCTGACACAATTCAGCTTGAGAACCTAGGGCCTGCACAATCCCCCAAACCCCAGACTTGATGTCATACTGAAGTTCAGCTGAAATTGCTCAGTCAAGAATGAAGGCGTGTGGACATTCGTATGTGCAGCTATGAACCTCCTTAATCCAGTGTTTCTCAGTAGATGCCACAGTATGTCTACGTGGGTGGTTTCACAATCCCTTCTAATGTGTTAAAGGCTCTGAGAAGTCCTGCAACAAGGAACTGCTTTAGGTTTGCTTTACCCCCAAGGTTTTTTATTAAACTTATTAGACATGGCAACTTTTGTGTGTGTGTTACACCAATTCACACACCCACAGAATTACTTTGGGAAAGTTTGCTCTCTTATAGACGTCACCTTCAGGACGAAGGGCTGAGGAGATGGCAAGAGAGAAAATGGACACCACTGATCTCTGCAGTGTGAGTGACACTGAGCACAGGCTGATTCAAGTGCACACCCAATGGTCTGCCATCCCACCCCCATGCCCTCCTCTCTTCCGCTACTCCCTCCATCTGAAGAAACACAACCCATCAGGTCTGCTTTGCTTAGTGTCCCTCCTCTTGACCTCGGGCTGAATCCAAGGGTCCACTTGTCCACCCTCTAGGTCTAGGCTCACATGGCTCCAGGGAAAATGAGCTGGGCTCACACAAGAAGAGCTTCATGAGTGTCAGACAGGACCTGTTTGTAAGCAGTGACCAGGAAAGCTTTGGAGTGGCTGTGATTTCCTTCCTAAATTCCCAGGACCTCTTCCTCCATTGCTTCTCTTCTCACACTCCCTAATGAAAAGGTTCTTCCCTGTAAAAGTTTGGGAATCGATTGTACGAGGCCACGGTTAGTGCGTTGACTGCAGAGACAAGATCCTCTTAGCTGGTGATCTGTTTTGTGTCGGAGTGACAAAACATCCTAAAATCCAATTTGCTGTTGAGAATCCTGGTTCGTGGAGAAGACACGGTGTAGAGGAGGGGATTGCCCATGCTTAGCAGCCCAGAGAGGATGCCCGACAGTTCAAAAACACCTGTTGGTTTAAGAAGGTGTAGTTTCTGCCACTCTGTGGCCTCTGAAGAGGCGATGAAATTCTAAATGCACCCCTTCTAGCCACTCCAAGTTTGGCAGAACTTTCTCTCACTTTACAGCAGAGAGGAGAAGCCAAATAAATAATGCATGGAATGAAAATTTATCTTTTGAAGAAAAAACAAAACAAAACAAAAAAAACGAACTAAATACCAGGACCTTACTTGTGACTACTCCCTAAAATGTGCAGAGAAGAGGGGCTGAGCTTTCACCCTGGCTTTGGGGTAGGACAGCACCCAACCTGGTCTATGGTGATCTCAGGACCTTATTGGCCACATCCCTCAGCATCGAGGTGTGATTCCTCAGGCCTCACCCCAGCCTGTGTCATCGCAGGTCCTGATTCTTTTCTCTACACTCTGGGTCTCTGACAAAATTCTGCTGGACTCTATAGGCCATTAGCACCAATTTCTAATGAGCCCTGCACCCAGCTACCATCAGGTTCGGGCACCCAGCATGGCATGACATCCACAGACAGAGATTCTTTCCTGCCTCTGGATTCCAAATTCTAGAATCCTAGAGTTAGTGAATGAGTAGAACAAAGGTAAGAATCCTTGCCCAAGAGTGAACCAGCCATGGGGAAGCTTTGCAACCTGGGGCCTGCAGCATCCCACTGAAGCCCTTTCCCAGCCTACATTCTACAACCCCTGCCTCACACAGTCACTTTCAGGATTCAATAAGAAAGCACCGTTTCCACAGCACCAGGATTTCCAAGAAGTCAGTAAGGAGAGCCAGACTCTCACCACACTTAGAGCTTTCATGAATCAAAACCAGAGATGGGGACTTCACTAATTTCCTCTGCCTTAATTTTTTCCAGGAGAAAACTGGAGATGCCAAACAGAGTAACACTCACCCTTAGGAACAGAACATTCTTTGGAAAGATGCTTGCAACTTTACACCATAGCCAAGGTTAACACTCATCTCCTTTTGAGAATGGGGTTGGGGACATTGAGGCTCAAAGAATAAATCTGGTCAGAGATAATCCAAGGGCAAAACTAGGGCCCGATATTCTCACCTGGCCCCCCCGCACACTCACCCAACACTGGGAAGCATCTTGCTGAGCACATACATTGTCAGGTGGCCAGCAGCAGAGTGACCAGGGGCCATGGCCAGGTCAGATTGCTTAGGGCTGAGCTGTGGCTCCACCACTTGGTGGCCGTGTGACCTTGGACAAAGTCCTGAGCCTCCCTCATCTCAGTGTCATCCTGGAAAACATGGAGATAGCATTAGCGATTGCCGTTCTGGACAGTTCTGAGGAATACATGAGCCAACCTGTGTGAATTACTTGAACGATGTCTCTCCCATCGCTGCATAGATCCTGGCCACCGTTATCATTATTAATTCGTATGATTTCCCATTCCCTTGTGTTCATAAGGACTAACACCAACACTAATGTCCTCACTGCCTCTTCCCCAGAGAGTGATGCCACATGATGGTAGGACAGGGATCCTCCTGTAGACTCCAGGAGCTTTGCCTGGAAGCTGCTTCATACCAGACAGAGAAGCAGCCTGCTCCCTCTAGGACAAGCCTCTGTCCTGGTCCACCTTCCCTTGAAGGTCCGTCCCTTACCACCTGGCAGCAAAGCCCCCTCCAGGCTCCCCACTGGCTCCACCTTCCTGCCACAACTAGAATGCTGCAGCCTGGGCAGCTAGGACCTGAGACCCAAGACTGAGCCTGGACCCTGAGAGGGGATCAGGTGGGCTTTCTGGGGGAGGGAGCGGTGGGACTCACAGCTTTTAAAGAGACAGTGTCCGCAGGGCTCTGTGTGGACTGAGCCTTGCTCAATGGAGCCTCCAGGGCAATTACCCTAATCACGTGCCTCTCCCAAACAGCCTTTTGATTTATTAACGCGACATCTTTTTAAAATGCCGCTCTTAAATATAAATAACACTTAATCATCCAGCTGTCGTTAAATTCATGTTATATTGATTTCTTGGAGTGCCGCAAATTTGAAGGCAAATGGGCAGGCGGAAATGCTTACAAAGCCAAGAGGTGGATTAGCAAGGGGGCAGCAGGAAACCAGGAAGAAGAAAACAGGGGTGTCATGGGAGAGAAATCAACCCTGTTCAGAAGCCCAGGGTCAGAACCAGTTTCACAATGGGTAGAACCAGACACAAATCAGAGGAGCGGAGAGGATGGTACATCTGTTGCACAGACTAATAATCGCAGTTAAGATCATGCTCGGCTGTCGGTAATGCTGCCGCCCCGTCATGGCCAGTCAGAGAGCCACTCCAACAGGTCTCTGATGTGCATTGTCTGTGCGGTGCCTTCTCAGGGTGAGAATGGGGAGAAGCAGCTAAGAAATGCCCCCTAGCTGGCTATGAGGAGACAGGCTTGCTGCAATTTCTTTGCTTCAAAGCCAGGTGATAACTATGAGCTGAGAGTAGTTACTAAGCCATCCCCCCAGTCCCCACCCCCAGGACTGCTGCTGCCCTAGAAAGCCCCCCACTCAATTCCCAGCAGCCCTCATTGTGATTAAAAGGATCCGGAGGCCAAGTGTAGGCAGAGTCTGCCTTTGCAGATTCCCCTGTCTGCAGGGAGCTGGAGCTGGGGCTGCAAGAATAGGAGAGGCACCGAGAAGCAGAAAGGAGGCAAGTTGGGTGCCTCGATTCCTCCGGAAATGTTTGCAGAGCGCGTCAGTGGGCATCCAGGATGAAGTGCGAGAGGACAGAGGGAGCCCTGGGATTCGGGGAAGGAGCTGCTATGGGGGACCCACACTTTGTGTTCTCGGGTGAGCAGCGGGAACACAATCCAGCAACAGTGAGGGGCGTGGAGAGGATCATTTGTGCCTGGGCCTTTTCCAGGGTGGCTAACTCCCTTCCTAGTGAGGAAGACCCCAGAGAACTTGGAGGGAAGGTGTCAGAAGAGGTATGGAGGGAGAGTGACCCTGTAGCATATCCAGGGCTGGGCAATGAAGCCAGGAAAAAAAAATTAGAAGATGTATACCCAGCTTTACTCAGATGTTAATTAATGCCTGACTTGGCCTAGAAACCAAACTGGTACCCTTAGAATAGTGCAGAAAGTGTGGGGGATTTTTGGACCCTGGTATTCAGCTTATAAGCAGCATAATGAGTGTTGACTTGGCATTAAAATGACAGAAAGGAAAGACAGGACGGCGGCGGGAAGCAGAGAAAGGAGCAAATCAGGAAGATCTGCACCTTAACTTTTGCCCCTTCCATGTCCCATGAGAATGTTACACTGTTGCTAGAACTCACTATTCCTACTGTAAACCATGTGCTGCCCTGCCCTATGCGTTGGTGGGATCTCCCTGTCCACGCACTCAAGGGTATGCATGTGGAGACTGCCAGTTTTCCACAGCCCAGAAGACAGAGATGGACCCCACTATCACACATGGTGGGACCGATTGAACACATTTGACTAGACTCCGAGAACACATGTGTCTATCTGCATGCGTGTGCACACACCCACCATTCTTAAAAAGAAAATAATATTTCTTCCTCCATGGACTGAGCTCTCCCCAGCCTGAGAGCTCTGCTTTATTCCATCTACCCTTTTCAATCAATCAAAGGGCAGCTCACACTGCACAGCAGGAATACAATCTCCCTCCTGGGGCGTCTGCTCTTCTCCCCAGCCTAGCCAGAAACCTTTGCAGGAACTGAAAAGTTTGAAAATAGAGCTGGGGGTACAGAAAAAGCCCTCTATTTCCACATCCATCTTCAGGATTTTTAAAAGCAACCCCAATTCTGTGCCCAGCACTGAGGCCTTCTTGTTCAAAAGAACATTTGCTCCCTGCCCCTCATGTTCCAGAAGGCTTCTAACCTATTTCTCCCATTAGTGGGCTTGTGGGACACTCTGACCACATGACTTATATAGAGGGACAGGTTGGAAGGGACAGGTTGCCCAAAAAGCCACCTCAGAGAGACAGCTATAGAAATATAGAAGCTTGTTATATGGATATTCAACCCTGAAATAATGAAATACTATTTTATTTGGCTCTCCCACTCTTCTTACAATAACTGAACCCCTAAATGAGTTACTCTTAGGCAGCCAAGATGGGAACTAAGGAAATGCCCTTCTGGAACCTCAACTACCTTCTTCCTCCTCCTGGAAAAGTTTGAAAATGAGCAGCCTGTGAAACTCCAACCTGAGAGAAAAGGAAAAGGAAAGGTTCTGGGAAATAAAACCTGGAAGCACTGGCTTCTGGAGAGATTTCTACTCTCAGGAGCAGCCAGGGCTCTGGGGGACGCTGCCAGACCCGAGAATATCGTGGGCATTGCCCACGTGGTCATGAGAGAGAGGACCTTCTTCCCCTGAATACTACTCCCCTCTGGCTCCGGCTCCTAGGTCTTTTTCTCAAACCCACACCTCCAAAGGCATGTGACAGGTGTTGGCCAGAGGCAGGGGAAAGGGTAGGGAGGTGAGAGGGAGACCCAAATCCTGAGTCCCAAGCTCTGCCTGCTTAGGTCTCCTAGCGACTGGGGATGTGAATAAGGTCAAACCTTTTAAGGAGGATCTGACCCTGACACCTTCCCTAGACAAGCAACACACACACTCCAGCGACGCGTTGCTGAAACCCCTTCCTGCCTGAAATCCCGGCGCATTCCCGGGAAGCAGTGCCACGCTTTGGAAAGGCGTTTGTGCTGCCTCTTACTGGGGAAACGCAGTGTCTTTTCCATATGCACCGCCCTACAGAACTGCAGCCCCATCCGCCTATGTGGCCTCCTCCCGGTGCGCGGGGCTACCACGCTCTCCAAAATTCTGTCCGAATATCTGTCAGTCTGCCTCTCATTAAAACCTCAGGGTGTCCAAAGGCCACGGAGTCGCGATCGCGTTGGGCGGGTCTCCCAAGACCTCCCATGACTTCTCCCGTTTTAAAAACCAGCTAGAGATGAAAGGGGCTGGAAACTGAAATATCGCTCCCTCATCCTACCCGGGTGGGAGGGAGAGCCATTCATACACCGAATCCCACCCTGAAAGTCCTGGGTAAGAGAAGTCTGAGTCCCGGAGCGTACGAGGAGAAAGAACACGGGAAATCCCTGCTCCGGCCGCGCTGCACCTATGCCGGTGTCCAGGTGGGACGTGGGCAGGTGCGTGAGCGCAGTGTGTGCCTGTGTGTATTTGTGTGTGCGTGTGTTTGTGTGTGTGCAATGGGATGGCTCCGGGGCAGCGAGGACTCCCGGACCGGACCCAATATCTTCGCCTGCGCTACCCTCGCCGCCCGCCCGGCCCCGCGTCCCAGCCGATCGGTTCCTTACCTGGAAGCACCGCGTTTCCCTCCTTCAGTGGGAGCGCCGCATTGACACTGCAGATGGTGCCTGTGCCGCTGCCTCTCGCCCTCCTCTGAACGTGTGCGTGTGCGCGCGTGTGGCTGCCTCCTCCAGCCCCAGCCCCGAACGCAAATACTCCACCGAGGCACAGGGAAGCCGGGAGCAGCCAAGGAAAGCGGAGGGGGCCAAATCAGAGCCTGCGGGGTTTGACAGCTCCTCTTGCAGCGTCCAAGGTGGGCGTAATGTCCAACAAAAAGGTCGGAAAATGTGGATGAATTCCCAGCACCCCTTTCCTCCACCTAGCCCCGGAGCCCAAGCAGCAGCGGCGGCTCTCGGG